TCAAAGGAAAGCCCACAATATGGAGTGGGGTCCAGGAGATGGACCCGAAGCCAGAAACAGAGATGCAAAGCATCACAGAGCAGAGGGACCCCAGTGCCCACACACAGCCACAGGGAGACACAGAGACAGACCATGAAAGACAGAGGGACAGGGACCCAAGGAGGAAGCAGGATCCCATGGACAGACACAAACCCACAGAGACGAGAAAGCAAGGAAAGAGGCAGGCTGAGGAGGAGAGGAAACAGAAATGTCCTCCGACAGAATGGAGGGAGCAGTGACTTGGGCAGAAGTGAGTCTGGGGGCCGCTGCCGGCCTCCCTCTCCCTGACTCACTCTGTTCTCAGCAGTGGCAGCTGGTGCTCTAGGATTCGCCCCCCTCTCCCGCCCCCCATATCTGCCAGCCCCGCCCGGCCCCCACCCGCCCATCGGTGACCCCACCCGGCCTGCCCCTGCCTAGGACTGTTGGTGTTGTCATGGCGACAGCAGCTTGGGGGGGGGGCTCTGACTTCGCATCTCCAGCCCCCCCTTGAGCTCCCCTTTTCCAAATCTCCCTGTTCCCATGGCAACAGATTCTCCAAATATCTGTCCCCACCTGGAGCCGGCCGAGGGAGGGGCCCTCAGTACCACCTCCGCGGTGGCCCCGCCGTCAGAGCCTCCTCCCCACCGCAGGCTGTGTCTCTGCCACACCCCCCACCCCGGGCTCCCCCGCGCCTCTCTGGGGACCAAAGAACACGTGTGTCAAGCCTCCTGGGCTGTGGGGCCCCAGCCTCCACCCTCCTGAGGGTCCTGGGAGTCCTGGTCCCCAGCTCTTACCTTGACATTGCAGGCCCTGTTTTCCAATGCCCCTGCAAGATCAAGGATCAGAGGTCAGTGCAGCACAGGGTGCCTGGGCCTCCCACCTCTGCGAGCCTCACTGCGCCTTGTTCCCTCTGCGACCAGGACCCCGGAGTGGAGCCCCAGCTGCCTCTTGTTCTAGAACCCAGAAATTCTGGCCCTCAGCCCTTCTCTCAGACCCATGAGTCGGGGGTCCCCAAGCCTCGCCTCCCTCGGACACAGGAGTCCAGGCTCCCAACCCCTCTTCCCTCAGATTAGGGAGTCTGGGGCCCCTCCCCCCTCCCCCTCAGACCCAGGGGTCCAGGTCCCCCAAGCCCCTCCTCTCTCAGACCCAGGAATCTGGGCCCCCAGCCCCTCCTCCTTCAGACTCAGGAGTCGGGGTCCCCAGCCCCCACCTCTCTGACTCAGGAGTCCGGGTCCCCAGCCCCCTCCTCCCTCAGACTCAGGAGTCCGGGTCCCCAGCCCCTTCCTACCCTAGGACCAGGAGCCAGGGCTGCAGCCCTCTTCTTCTCCAACACTCAGGGGTCTGGGGTGACATGTCTCCACCCATCGTTCCCTCCTCCCTCAGGCCCCCAGCCCCTTCGCTCACCAGATGAAGTCGGTGCAGTGGCTGCAGAAGGTTGGCTGCTTGAAGAAGCGGGCGGTGAACTTGTGACTCTTGACTTCGTGGACCACCTTCTGCCTCAGAGCCCCCTTTCTGCAAAACAGGGGCCGGGGTCCCCCCTCTGAATCGCCTCCGCCGGGGCCCAGGCCTGCCATGGCCCCAGGAACGTTGCAGGGACCAGGATCCTGCCTTTCTGGGGGAAACAGGTGGAAGGACGAGGAGCCGGAGACTCGAGACTCGGGAGAGCACTGAGCCACGGGGAGATTGCGAGGAGGGAAGGAGAGGGGCGAGGCACCTCCAGGCGCGGAGCGCAGGGCAGGGAGCCGCACCCCGGGGCGCGCCGGCTCCGCCAGGGGGAGCGGGCGGGCAAGGCGGAGAGCAGAGGGCAGGGGCGCCGAGGAGCCGGAGGCAAGGGCGGCGGCGGCGGCGGGAGCTCCAGCTCAGGCACCTGCTGAAATGTGGGAGCCCCAGCTGGGGGGAGGCGTTGCCATGACGACCGAGGGGCGGGGTTTCAGCTTAAAGGCGTCCCCCCTCCCCGAGACTTGGGACAAATGCCCCGCCCCCGGCACACGTGCGCACACCCACTCCGGGGGCTGGCTGGAGGGAGGGGGCATCCTCTGCGCGGTGCCCTGCCCCCACCGCCGGCCGGGGCCTGCTCCCCACTGGGGTACCTGTGCAGGTCCCGGCAGCCCGCTGAGACTCCGCTCGGATCTCTGGGCTTCTGCCTGTGTCACTCTGCTTCATTGCACAAACTTTGTATTCAGGGCTGGGGGCCCAGTGGTGAACGGAGAGGCCTGGCGTCTCACTCTGCGGCTCTTCAAGTCTTGACTTCTCTCTGGGCCTGGGTCACTGTGTCTGCCCGCGCTCTGTCCCTGTCCCAGGGGTCCTGGATTCCTGTCCCTGTCCCAGGGTTCCTGGCTTCTATTTCTCGGTGTGTCTCTGCCTGTGCCTGTGGCCATGCTGTGACCCTCTCTGGGTCTTGGTGTCCCTCGGCTTCTCCCCAGATGTCTCCATCGTCCCTGTCTCCCTCTTCCTACCTCTATGTGGCTCTCTCCCCGCCTCTCTCCCGTGACTGGGGGTCCCAGGAGCCCCCTCCCTCTGTGAGAATCTGTGTCGCCCCACCCCTTCACCGCTCTGGGTCCCCAGTCTGCGAGCCTCCTTGTCTTCGCCTCTTCCTCCTCCTCTGTGTCCATCCCTCCCTCAGACCCACTGTCTGGCTCTGCCAGCGTGTCCCTCTGTCGCTGGGGATCTCTCGGACTGTCTGAACTCATCTATTTCTCCCCCAGCTCGCCCCCCATCTCTACCCCTTCTCACCCGCTCTGGCTGTGAACCTCTCCTCCCCCTCCCCCCACTTCCCTCTCTGGCCCTGGAAAGCCCCGTGCATCTCCGTCCCTCTGAACGTCGGCCCTGTCGGGCTCCGCTGTCCCCTCGGTCGCTCCGCCCGCGTCCCTCCCTCGGTCAGGTCGCTCTGCGACCCTCCCCCGACTCGCAAGCGCGCAGGGGTCCCAGCTCCCGGAGACCCGCTCTGTTGCCAAGGGCAACCACGGTCAGCCGGTGCTGCGGAGTGCGATGCATCCTGGGACTTGTAGTCTGAGCTTGCGGACTGCCTGTTGTGGCGACGCGGCCGTGAACTTCCTCTCCCGGCGCGCTCCGCGAGGCTGGCCAGGGTGCAGCGGCGCCGCCGGGGGAGCCGGCCCGCCACGCCTTCTCTGTTAATTTTGGGGGTCCGGGTCCAGCTTCCCGAAGCCGAGGGGGGCGGGGTGAGGGACTCTGACACTTCTCCAAACCCCTCAGATATGGGGTGCTCTTGCCTGCCAGCCACCTCCAGGTGTCCGCCCTGCCCAAGGGCGAATATGGGGTGGGGGTGGCCCTGGACACTGACATGGGAATCCCACCTTGCTCTGCTTGACTGCTTTCCCCGCATCACCAACACATCACCCGCAGGTTCTAGAGCTCTCCTCTCTGGTGCCTTCCAGAAAGGCTTCACACATTAGGTGGGGGAGGGGAAGGGGACGAGACGCCCTTGGAGGAGGCAGGCATTGGTGTGAGTCTGAACTCTGGGGTGGACATTGCAGAGATGAAAAGGATGCTTCTTGCTGATAGGAAGTGCATCTGTTCCAGCTAACCCTTCCCTCTCTTCGGCGGGGGAGGGGAGGGGTTCCCTCCCTCTTTCTACATATCTCTTCCCATTGCTTTTGCGGATGTAAGTGCAGAACATGAGTTGCATGACCCTGGGATGGTTGCAGATTTGTGTCTATGTATTTGTGGCTCTCCTCGAGCTGCAGAAACAAGCAACAGGACCTCCTGTGGGGCAGAGCTTCTTTGCAGGAGGTAATGATTCCTTTGCTGTTTATAGAGGTCTTCTATGGACCAGTTGTGTCAGGGAGCTTAGAACTGAGGATAAGATGGAGCTGAGGGTGGGGGTGTAGGTAGGGTCTGATCCTGGAGGCCCAGAGTGAGGAGCTGTGGTATTACCTGTAGGCAGATATGGATATGAGCAGGTGGGGGGGAGGGGTCACTGTCAGACCTGGGTGCTAGAAGCTTCCCCCTGGGGCCAGGGTGAGCAAGAAGTGAGCTAGTCAAGGGGGCTGGAGTGCTAGTTCAGGACAAACAAAAGGATACCTGAGCTGGGTCAGGAGCCTGGACCAGGGGACAGTGAGGAAGGACAGACAGTGTCTAGTGAGCAACTGACAGAGCAGATGCAAAGAACCACTGCCTGGGTCCTCAACCCTGAGAGCCTGTTATGGAGATGAGGAACCTGAGAAGTTAATTTTGGGAGGATATGTTGCACTCAAGCGTAGAGTATTTCTATAGAAACACTGTACATGGGATCCCTGGGTGGCGCAGCGGTTTGGCGCCTGCCTTTGGCCCAGGGCGCGATCCTGGAGACCCGGGATCGAATCCCACATCGGGCTCCCGGTGCATGGAGCCTGCTTCTCCCTCTGCCTGTGTCTCTGCCTCTCTCTCTCTCTCTCTGTGTGACTATCATAAATAAATAAAAATTAAAAAAAAAGAAACACTGTACAGTATTCACTGTATTTCTGAAGTGCTCTTGGGACTCCAAGGAGAGATAAATCTTATTCATTTTAATCCTAACTCCGTTCTCCTGGTGTGAGAGTAAATTGGGAGATCCAAAGGCCAAACTGGTCTTGGCCCCAGGCCCCCTCTCCCACCAGACCCAAGAATCCAGATCTTGCCCCCTCTCCTGGAGCCCTCCCCAGCAATAAAGCAAACACAGCTTTTCTTTGATCTTTATATTGATGTAAAAAAAAAAATTATGGATGTGGGAGTGAGGGAATGGACAAGTCCCAGCAGGGATTGATGGGAACCAAAAGCTCCAGGGAATTTAAAAAAAAATAAAATATATATTTATACATATATATATGATGTTATGCATGTGAGTCCCGAGAAGCAGGAAGCAGCTACAGGAAGCAACTAGCATGCAGAAACACACGTGTGTGTGTGTATGTGTGTGTGTGTGTGTACCACACTCGAGCAATGCAGTTCGAGCAATGCAGTTTGTTCCTCTGACTACGGCAACAGCAATCCCCACCCACCCACCCCCAAGAAAAAGACACTGAGAAAGAAACTTCTCCTTTTAGATAAGGGTCACCCAGTAAGTTTTGCCCTCATGACCAGGAAAAGGAAAAGATAAACAAACCCAGGCTGACGTTGCCTTTAAGGCCGGCAGTGGCCATCCTCTTCTCCCAGCAAAGGCAGTATATGCTGTTTTTAACACTGAGGCAGGAGAGTCACATCCCTGCCCCCCATAAATACTTCAGACAGTTGTCCTTAAGCCCATACAGTTCTTTGCCAGCCACTTTTCCAATAACCCAGAGAGCAGCTGGGATGGAAAGTATCCACCCTTTTCTTCCTTTATGATGGTCTCTGGGCAATGGATTTTTAGTAAGCTTAGCCAAAATCCTGGAGCCAGTCTCTGGCGAGGCTGGGTGCCAAGATAGGGCCCAGGGCCCCAGGGTCCGTGCTTTAAGCCTCATGCCCACTGGAAATCATTGGCCTCCAGATTTTTTTTTTTTTTAATCTTAAGGGGACATGTAATGTACGCCCCCCTCCACCAGGAGAAATGGAGCCCATCCCTAGCTACCCATCCCCTCCCCCCAACACACACGTACACACCAGCTAAGGCACAAGCAGGGCGGGCTTGCATGCTTTGGCAATGAGACCCCTCGGGAGGCCCAGGGTATGAACAGCTGCAGAGAGGGGTGTGGGATGTGGAGCTCAGCACCTTCGGAGGCAGGGGGTGTGGGTAGGCAGTGGAGTAGGGGCAGAGAAGAAAGAAGTCTCAGAGCTCCCAAGGAAATCATAAGAGAGAAATTGCGACAGAGGTGGCCAGGAGACAGGCAGGTGAGAAAACAAATGAGGACCAGAAAAAGAAGCAAGGAACAGAATAGGTAAAGACGGAGCAAGAGGAAACAGGAGAGTGGAGTAAAGAAACAGAAGGGGTCAAGACAAATCAGGAAGGAAATGAGAGAGGTAGGAGAGAGGTAGCCAGGAAGAAGAAATAAGAACTCAGGAGAGAAACCTCTGCCAACAAAAGGGAATTGAGAGCCTCCTTTGTGGGAGCCTCAAACCCTAACAAAAACCAGGCGGGCCGAATACACCAGGTCAGCCACATAAGCCAGCAGGTTAATGGCTGTCAAGATGGCCACAGCCAGGCGGCGGTCCCAGGCGCACACGTAGTAGGTGTGACTGTTGGCGCAGCTAACATCCCTTGACCGACGGGGCTGGCCACCATACTTCTCATTGAACTGGTAGAGTGGCCAGAGAACCAGAGCCGTGGCATACAGCAGGACGGAGAGCAGGGCCAGGCCTGACAGAAAACTGGGGAAGGAGATGGGCAGCATGTTGGTGCAGTCCCCCAGGTTCAGTAGGATAGCCACAGCCGCCAGGATGAAACAGATGGAGTAGACGGCCACACACCACTCCAGGGCCGGCTGGTGCTGGTATAGGGAGGGGTTGCTGATGAAGGCGAAGATGATGCAGGCCACAAAGGTCTCCAGCACCTTGAGCAGGCCCGGCACGGTGGCCATGTAGCCGGTGATCTCTCCGGGACGGGCCCGGGTCCAGGCCACTTCGGTGGCATAAGCCACACAAGCGATGCAGGAGAAGGCAGTGGCGGCGATGGCATGGTCCCGGGAGCGGCCGTGAGGCAGGAACTGGACGTAGGTGGTGGGGTAGATGATGGAGGCCGACAGGCAGAAGAGGGCAGCGTAGCAGGCGTAGGTGATGGGGAAGTTTCTCCAGGACAAGGGGAAGCGGGACTGGAGGCCACCTAACTCAACTATTAGGATGATGAGGGTCACAGCGAAGCAGAAACACCATGTGAACATGGACCAGTTGCCCATGGCCCCGGTCCAAGCACCCACACTGGCCACCAGGGAGAAGGCCACACAGGTGGACAGCAGCTGCAGCAGACGGAGGAGGCCCAGGGGCTGGGTCAGCGCCCGAGGGGACCCCACGATAGTTGGGGAGCCCAGGCCTGAGGATGATGACGTGGTGGTTGTGATGGTCGTGCGGGTCACTGTCACAGGCATGGCTGGAAAGAAGGGAAAGAAGTGTCCTTAGAGGGCTCCATATGTGGGAATCCAGGCTCTCAGCCCTTCCTGCCTCCTGGACAAAGTAACCCAGACTCTAGCTGGGAGGTACCCAGGGGGCCAACTTTTCAGTCTTCAAAGTGGGACAGTTGTGAGCCTATGGGGATGAGGTGGTCACCCAGGTCCCAGCCCCCTCCTTCCTCTGGACTCAGGTTTTCCACCTCCCATGTCAGAACCCCAGAGTTTGGGCCGCTTCTCTCCTTTCCTCTCTCTGCAACGCAATGACTATAAAACCATCTATCTTTCTTCCCCATCAGACACTCAAAGCTGCCCTCCCTCACCATGGACTCAGCCACCCATCAAATCAAGACTCCCCTCTAAAACCTCCCCAACCCTGCTGCATCAGAGTAAGAGCTCTGCTTCAGAGAGCTCCACCTCTTCCCTTTGGACACCCAGGCCTCTGCACCTATCTTCCTTCTTTCACAGGCATTTGCAATCTCCAGACATTCAAGAGTCCAAACTCCACATGCGAACGTTCTCAGGGACCCACATGTAATCAGAGCTTCCAACCTCCCAGCCTGTTTCTGGAACTGGGTCTGAGGTCTCAGGAGCCCATCTTCTCACGCCCACCCCCAGCCTCAGATCAAGAGCCCACGCCCTCAAATCTGAATCCCACTTGGGATTTGGGGCTGGTGCACTTCACCCCGGGGACACTGAACTTCCACCTGCCTGTGCCCCTCCCCACCATGGAGTCCAATCTCCAAATTCCCCGACTTTCAAGAAACTCAGCGCTCCACATTCTTGACTGTCCAGTGCCCCAGTCCCTTCCACTGAAATCTCCAGGCCTCTCACGTCCAGTTAACATAGCTTCAGACCTCAGGACTCTGGGCCCTCAGCCTTGGGCACACCAGACACCTGTAGTCTGGGAAATCAGCTTCTTTCTTCTGTATCCTCTAGAACCTACACCTTCTGCCTCCTGTCCTAAAGACCCTTAGGGATAGAAGGCCCAGCCTCTTCCGGACCAGGTGTCCAGATCCTCCCTAGGACATCTAATCTCAGCTGCCACTCCTAAAAGGCTCATAAGACCTCTGTTAGCCACAAGGGGGAAAAAAAAACTTCCTCCTTCCAGGGTCAGACACACAGGAGGGCAGTAAAAGAGGTTCTACCTTGCCCCGTAGTCCCTGCAGAGACCCTGAGGACACAGGAGCCCAGTTCCTGGACACACTTCTTTCTCAGGTACAAAGGTGTCTGGGTCTCTTTCCTTGGAAACCAAACTCCCAGGTCCTTCTCTCAGGATCTAGGAGTCCAGGCCCCCAGGTGCTCCTCCCAGACCCAAAAGTCTAGGTGGGAAGCTCCCTCCTCCCTCAGACCCAGGAGTCCCGACGCCAGCCTCTCCTCCCTCAGGCACGGGAGTCCAGGCTCACTCACCAGCGGTCTCTGCGGAGAACCCCGACGGAGAAAGATCCGGCTCTGGAGGTGGTGTAAGACTGACGCCGGGAAAAGGCTAGTCGGAACACAGGAGGGCGGGACAGAGTCAGCGCCGGGTCCAAGCCCGGCCCCGCCCCCCCGGGACCCAGGCGACCAACCGCCCGCCGCGGGGGCTCGCCCAGGGCGCTCGGCCTGGCCCTGCAGCCCTGGGCGCCGGGCCAGCCAGGGCGGGGACTTGGCGGCGAGTCGGGAGAGGTCCGGGAGGTGACCTCAGGGAAGCCCCGCCCCTTCTTCCTCCCCAGTCCCCAAGCTGCGGGGGCGGGAACGGAGGGCAGCTGGTGAAAGTGCACGCCCAGCGCGCAGGCCGGCGTGGGTGTGGGTGATCTTAACCCTGCCCCAGCCCGAGAAAGCCGCGGGCGGGAGGGCCCTGGGCGGTGGCTGCGGAGGCCGGCGGCCAGGCCCCGCGCGGCGTCTCCGTGCCTTATAAGGCTTCGAGTCGGCCCAGCCATCTGGAATGTGGTCCGGAAGGCGGTGCTGGGACCTCCTGGATGGCCCGCCCCCCTCGTGGATTTAGGAGACGGGGGGGGGGGGGTTTCACCTAGGAGGACCTAAATTTCTGGGTCCTTAAAAATGTGGCTTCTGGGTCCCTAGAGCGGGGCCTGGGAGCCTGTACCCCAAGAGGGTCTCTGAGAGCGAGTGGCTCCCGCGGTTTGCCTAGAGGAACACCCCCACCCCCACCCCCACCCCAAGCCGGAAACTGCGGTGTTGGAATCCAGTGCAAAGGCTAGTAGCCACACCTCCCACCACCCCTCGGAAGTCAGGTCTCTCGGCGGGGGCTGGCCACCTGGGAGGGGTAGGCGGGAGTCGGTCGCCTCCCGCCCCCACTCCCCAACGCCCTTCGAAAACCCGTTAGGAGGAAGTCAGGACCAGCCTACACTCGCACACTTTAGAAAGCGGGTACTGCCGGTCCCGAGCACGGAAGGAGTAAGAACACGAGTCACAATTCCAGAAGTGCCCCAAGGAAGGAGGTGGGCTGCGCTGCGCCCGCCCGGAGGGGAGGGGTCCGGCTCCACCCGCCCGGCTTCCAGCCGCCGCCTGAGGTCAGAACTCAGGAATGCACCGCCGAAGACAGCCAAGGAGAGGAAACACCCCTTCGGCTTCCCTGCGCAGCTAAGGGCTCCCCTCCGGCCACGCCCCATCGTCTCTCGCCACCTCCAGGCCGAACACCACACCCCATCACTCAGACTGAGAATCGCGTCCCTAAACCCCAACCTCCGCTATCGGCAACCCTAGGACGCTGGCCTCAGCTTTGGCTTCTCTCGGCTTTAGGATATCAGCTTCCCTGAGCCGTCCTCGCTTTAGGGAACACGATGCTGGGTCTCAACCAGGCCCAGAGTTCGAATTTTGTCCCCAGAATGGAGGGGTGGGGACCGGGGAAGGGTACGATCTTTCCCAAACCCAAACCCAAACTCCTCCCCTCCTGGATACCTTGTCATACTGGGTATCAGCCCCCTTCAACCAGGGCACATAGGAGTCCCCATCCCTCTTGGCTCTCAGACCTAGGAGCTCAGGCCGAAGCCCCCTCTTCCCTCAGACCTGGGAGTCCAGACCCCAGCCCCTCCTCCCTCGGACCCAGGAGTCAGGGCCCCCAACCCCTCTTCCCTCAGACCCAGGAGTCCAGGCCCCCAGCCTCATCCCTCAGACCCAGGAGTCCAGCACACCCCCCCCGTCCCGCCTCCTCCCTCAGACCCAGGAGTCTGGGCCCCCGTTCCTTTCTCTTTCAGATGGATGACCTGTATGAGTGCACGTCTCAAGCACTCTCCTCTCCAGAACCCGAGTCCTGATGCATGCCCAGTCTTTCTAGAGATTCAGACATTCGGGACCCCACCCCTCTCCTCCCCCTGCGCCCAGGAATCCTGACTGCAGCTTCCGCGCCGGGGGGTCCCCGCAGGCAGCCTCACCTCTTTGGCTGTGGCGGCTGCTGCAGAGCAGAAGCGGCAGCTGCAGACTGGGTTTGCTTACTGGGTGGGGTTGGCGGGCTGGGGTGGGGGCGGGGGCGGGGGCGGGGCCGGGGACCCGGCCCGAGTGCGGGGTTTCGGGCTGAGACTCCCTGGACCAGGGGTATCCCAGCCCCACCCCCGAGGCGGGGCCGATGAAAGACCACGCCCCTCCCGGGGAGAAACGGACCTAGGCTCTTCTGCCCAGCCGGCGGTGGGGGTGGAAGGCTGAGGTCACTGTTGCCTTGGTGACAAAACAGGAAGACACAACAGCTGGCGGTGTGGGGGCTCCTGGGGGCTGCCCTCCCCGACTCGGCCGTAGCGCAGTGTCCAGGCGAGGCCCAGGAAGGCCGTTGCCACGGCAACCCGTCTGTTTAGCATCTGTTTAGGACAGAGCCCCCAGCCCAGGTCTCCACCCCAGTCTCACCTCACTCAATTCTTCCTCTCCCTTCCGGCCCCCTCCCCTCCCCGTCCGCTCCAGCCCGACTCTTCCAGGATGGATGCAAGCTTGGACCTCTGGGTGGCAGCAGGGTGGGAGACCAGGCCTCTCAGTTAAATGGGGTCTGTGGGCTAAGGTCTCTCTGTCTCTTGGGTCTCGGAAAGGGAGAATAGTTGAGGCTGCCGATCCCTAGGCTCTAAGAGGTTTGTGGGCTGAGGTCCCCGACTCTTGGGTCCCCAAATCCTCATTTACCCTGGGATTCCCGGTGTTAGGGATCGGGGTGGGCGGGACTCCCAGGTCCCAGATGTCACCGTCGGTGGGGGCAGGGGCAGGGGCAGGGCTGTCGTTAGCCAGACGCCTGGATCTAGGGCAGTGGGAGTCGGAGGCACGGACTCCCAGGTTCCAAATAACGCCTAGGCTGGGGGCCCAGGCTCTTGGCGCAAAGAGCGATCAAAGCGCAGACTCCTGGGTTTTCATCCGCTCAGATGTGATTGCAAGCCGAGCCGCCTCGGTCTGGAACTGAGAGATATTTTTGGCCTGCATTCCTGGCTCCCGGATAGAGGGAGGGGCTCAGAAGCTCCCTGAGGACAGGGCCGGAGGGCAGGGGGGCGTCAGATTCCAGGTTTCTGCAAGAAGAGAGGGGCCCAAGGAGCGGGTCTGCCCGAGGCCCAGAACAGGGAGGGGCTGCGGGGTCCCTTCTCAGGGCGGCTCGGGGGCCCTAAACTGATCGACGGCGTCAAGAAGCAAGCAGAAGCTGGAGGTCGGGAAGCCTGCCCGGGGTAGGGGCGGGGACCGGGACGCCTGGGTCCCTCCCTGCTGACCCTGCTCACTCACCGCGCTCTGCAGTCGTTCCTGGCGAGGCCTTGCTCTCGGCTGCCTCTGGGCGGGGCCTGGTGGCGGCTGCGGATGCTCCGCGACGCTGAGCTGCTGCCGCTGGGTGCCTCCCGGGAAGACAACTAAGGAGGCTTTGAGACTCAGCCCTACGGTGGAAGACGCGCGCGTCGCGACGGAGTAGGGTGGTCTGATGGGGTCCGTGAGCCGGGTCTACCAGGCTGCGTGCCCTACGGGGGTGGGAGGGGCTGGGGGGCCTGGAAGCCGGGAGCTAGGCAGTATGGGGGGGTGGGGGAGGGATGAGGAGCGTGCCTGCCCATTTTTGTGCCCTTGCAAAAGGGATAGGCACAGACCCTCTCAGCCACTCTGTGCTCTGCTTAGGGGAAGGGGTCTCCATGAGCCTGGCATCCCACCCTGCCTGCTGAGTCAGAACATGGAGCCAGTTGGAGGTTCTCCAGCGCGGTCCCCAGGTTCTACTCACACACTTCCTTGGCCCCCAGTGCAGAGGCTTGTCTCTCCTGCTTCCTGCCATAGTCATCAAAGAGGTGACTACCCTCTCTGCCTGACCGCATCGTGGCACTCCTGAGATACCCCAAATAGTCCAGGAGTGGCCTTCACTCACACAATTTGCTCTCTGATGGAAGTGTTTTCCTTGAGGTGCCAAAATCCCCAAACAGCAGAGTTCAGGGTAACAAAAAGGGGAAACAAATGTAAAGAATGAGTCATCGGGTGTGATCTTGAGAAGTGATACCTTGGGGTTCCTGGGTCTGTGTGATTTGGCACCTAGCATGTGCGCCCGGTTCAGTGTTTACCCTACTGCAGCACCCAAAACCAAGGATGTTGTCTTCAACCTGGCGCCATAATGCAATCTCAAACAGGCTGTACCTCTGTTCTGTGAAACTCGCTGCTTTGGGCTAATGGAGTACGTGGGCCTGCCCACTGACTTCCTAATAAACGGAGTTTCTTGATCAGAAGCAATATTGTGTGGGTCAACATGACGGTGAATAGGGCCATTCAGTGGGTACACAGATGCTGCTGTTGGCAGGAGTGGGTAAGGCAAGGAAAGCAAATAACAACCCAGATTTAATTATTCCAGGGAGGAAAAAGTCATTGCTCAATTCATGATAGAGGGAGCCCAGCATAATTCTCAGGTGACCAGATATTTGGCTGATCTCCCTAGGAAACCTACTACACTGGGGGCTCACCAAGACAGGCCTTTATCAGTGACACAGCTGGCTAAACTTTGGTGAGGCAAATCCATGTATAGACTTTGCCCATGAGCCCATTCAGCCAGCACTGGGGAGGCTGATGGAGAGCCACAGTGAGGTCATCTGATCCACCAGATGGATTAACAACATTCTCTATAATAGAGGTTTTTGGGGAGGAGTTCACCTGGATACAGATTATGGGCTGTTTTACACTCCCACTGTGTCTGACACTGAATGTGTGGGGCTTTTTTTCACACCAACAACCAATCTATAACCCTCTAGACACCAACTACTGAGTGCCCAGTGATTTTTTTTAAAGTTATATTTTTAAGTAATCTCTACATACAACACAGGGTTTGAACTCACAACCCCAAGATGAAGAGTTGTATATTCTACTGACTGAGCCAGCCAAGCACCCCAAAAATCTTCAAAACAGATTTTATTCTGTTTGAATCTGGGTACCCTCTTGACCTGAAGTTATGCAGACCCCACAGTCCCACAAGACACCCCCCCATTCAGATTCCAGATCAAATCCCAGGTGTTCCATACTTGTGATCAACTGATCATAAATCAGGGTTTCCCATAACCCCCTTATAAGTTTCCATAATTTGCTAGAGAGTGGCTTACAGAACTCAAGAAAGCACTTTTATGGAAATTCCCATAGTGGATGGTTGATTAAATCATTGGCTGTTGGTGATGAAGCTCAATCTCCTACCAGGAGGTCAGGGACTAAGGCTGAAAAGTCCGACCTTCCAACCACAGGATTGATTTCTCTGGCAACCACCTCCCATCCTGAGCCACCTAGGGGCTCACCAAGACTCATCTCATTAGCATAAACTCAGGTATGGTTGAAAGGGGCTTATGTTGAATAAAAAAGATTCTCCTCTAACCGTTGCCACTCAGGAATCACAAGGGTTTTAGGGAACTCTGTTTTATCAATATCACACAGATCTTTCCATGCTCCAGGTCCATTTGAAATTTGCATTAATTCATCAAGTATTTATGAGTGCCTTCTACGTGAGCATCAAGCAGGCTAAGGAATACCTCCTCTTGGAGATTTTATCTCATTTGTTGTGGCGAATGAGATGTAGTAACTTCATCTGGATGGCATATTCCCACTGTCCTCAGACTGCCCGATTCTCAGTAATTTCCTTGAGGTGACGAGTTCCCCAATTTTCATGGTGTTTATCTCCCATGCCCTGGCATGTGTCTGTCTCAATAAGACCTACCGCATATCGGTCTGCTCCTTCCTGCTTTTCAGGTCTTATCAGCATTACATCATAAACGTGGTTAACCAGAATGGAACCTATGGGGTATTAGAAGATCAAGGTTCTTGAAGAACAATCAGAGAATTAATGTAACCCCAGGGGAAGGTGTGACAGTACTACTATACACCTGTATTAGATTCCTAGGGCTGCAGTAACAACCATCACAATCTTGGTGACTCAGAACACAGAAATTTATTCTTTCACAGTCCTGGAGGCCAGAAGTCTGAAATCAAATTATCAGCGTGGCCTTACTCACTCTGAAGTTTCTTAGAATGGGTTCCTTGCTCCTTCCAGCTTTTTGTAACTGTGGGTTCCTTGTCTTGTGGCCTCATCACTCCAGGATCTCCCCTCTGTTGTTATGTCACCTACTCTTCTCCTCTTCTGTCTCTGATCTTCCTGCCCCTCTTATTAGGATATTAGGATATTTACCATTGGCTTTAGGGTCCACCTGGATAACCCAGGATGATGTCCTCTCCCCAAGATCCCTAAGTTTATCATATCTTCTTAACTTGATAGGAACCCGCATCAGCCCATCCTCTCTTTCCTTTGGGTATGACTGCATGGTCCATCATTTTCTTTCTTTCTTTCTTTTCTTTCATTCTTTCTTCTTTCTTCTTTCTTTCTCTTTTTAAGATTTTATTTATTTGAAAGAGAGAACACGCATGTGCATACACAGGCAGGGGGAGGGGCAGAGGAAGAGGGAGAAGCCGACTCTGCTGGGCAGGGAGCCCGATGCAGGGCTCCATCCCAGGACCCTGAGATCATGACCTCAGCCAAAGGGAGATGCTTCACTGACTGAGCCACCCAGGGGTTCCTCCATGGTCCATCATTTCAATAACACTCTTGCCATGTTATGCACCTGACACTCCTTTGCTTTTCTGCCCCCCCCTTTTTTTAAGATTTATCTATTTGTTTATTTTAGAGAGAGAGAAGGGGGAGATGCAGGTGAGGAGAGAGAGAGAGAATCTCAAGCAGACTCCCCACTGAGCTCAGAGCCCCACCCAGAGCTGGATCTCACAATCCTGAGATCATGACCTGTGCTGAAATCAAGAGTTGGGACACTTAACCCCCACCCAGGCGCCCCTGCCCTTCTGGTAAGGGGCCCTCTGGCCCCAGTCTGGGAGAAGGAAAAAGGCAGGTTGTTGTTTTTGTATTTTTTTCCCCCTGAGCTTGTCTCTAAGCAACTGGGCATTCCCAAAGAAAATCACCTTACAGATGGAGTGGTTCCACCGTGAATACATGATGGCTGAGCTCCACTGCTCTCAACTTTGCCCACAGTCCTGTTGCTATCATCTGGTCAACTCATTGTCATTTCCATGGTGACAAGTGCCCTATTTTTATCCTCTTCCACCTCAGACACACTTTCTGCCTCTAGCCCAACCCATTCTCAGCCTATGACCTGCCTCCTTTACTTGAGAGATGATAGAAGCCATCCTCTGGGAAGCCCCTCAATCTCCTAAAACCACAGACCTGACTCTATTTCCAGGACTGCCTTCCTCTAGCAATTGCTTCATGTCAATCCTTCTTAGCTGTGTGATTTTTAAATACATCCTTTTACTCATAGCCTTGCTATTCCTATTCCTATTCTTCCTCTTTCTGGATAGTCTGTATCTCTTACTCAAAGAATTTTTCACTGACCTTTCAAGAAATAATAGTTATTTTTAATTGTCCTAAAAATACATGTAACATACTCTTAAATGTTACTGTTTAACCATCTTTTTTTTAAAGATTTTTATTTGAGAGAGAGCACACAAATGCACGTGTGACAAAGCATGAAAGTGGGGGGGAAGCAGAGGGAGTGGGAGAAGCAGACTCTTAGCCGAGCAGGATGCTTGATGCAGGGCTCAATGCAGGGCTCGATCCCAGGACCCCAGGATCACAACCTGAGCTGAAAGCAGACGCTTAACTGACTGAGCCACCCAGGAGCCCCTTTTTAGACCATCTTTAAGTGTACAGTTCAATGGAATTAATACGGCCACACTGTGACCATGTGGAGACACAGGGAAGAGATGATGGTCTATGAGCCAAGCAAGAGGGACCTCAGAAAAAAACAACACTGAAGACACTTTTATCTTGGGTTTCTTTCTTTCTTTCTTTCTTTCTTTCTTTCTTTCTTTCTTTCTTTCTTTCTTTCTTTCTTCTTCTTTCTTTCTTTCTTTCTTTCTTCTTTCTTTCTTTCTTTCTTTCTTTCTTTCTTTCTTTCTTTCTTTCTTTCTTTCTTTTCTTTAAAGATTTTATTTATTTATTCATGACGGACAGAGAGAGGCAGAGACATAGGCAGAGGGCCAAGCAGCCTCCATGCAAAGAGCCCGATGTGGGACTCAGTCCTGGGAGTCTGGGATCAGGCCCTGAGCCAAAGGCAGATTCTCAACCACTGAGCCACCCAGATGTCCCTGATCTGGGGTTTCTAACTTGCACAACTATGAGAAAATAAATTCTGTTTATTTCTGTAAATTCCGTAAATTTCTATATCACCCAGTCCATAGTGCTTTCTTAGGCAGCCCGAGCAAACTAATACAGTTTCCTACCATGCTGAACAATTTTGTGTTGTGTTTTGTTTTGTTTTGTTTTCAGTTTTTAACTTTCTGATCTCTCAAGTAACTGATGCTATTGGTAACTTCTTCCAACCCGAAACACTGTCCTCTAGGATCACATGGCACATCATTCTCCTGGTTTTCCTTCTGC